CCTCCGCCTCCTCCTCCTCCTCCGCCTCCTCCTCCTCCTCCCACTCCTCCGCCTCCTCCTCCTCCTCCTCCCTCCTACTCCTCCTCCTGCCTCCGCCTCCGCCTCCTCCTCCTCCTCCTCCTCCTCCTCCTCCTCCTCCTCCTCCTCCTCCTCTGCTTCCTCGAAGGAGACCTGCCTCCGATGCCTGCCAGAGGTGTGGTTGGGATCATTTCGTTTCGATTCCGATGGATTCCGACTCCACTTCGATTCCGATGTGTTGCTGGCGTGGACCCGCCAGAGTTGAGTCGGTCATGTCCCTTCACAGGAGGGATCTTCAAACATAACCAACACATTATATGGGGACGATTTCTTGATCGTGTTCCACTTTTTTCGAGTATCTTTTGTCTATCTTTCATTTTCTGCCCAGAATCAGCCTGTCGAGAGGCACTTCCGATTCCTCCGATTCGATTCGATTCGATCACGATGGTTTCCATCTCCGATTCGGTTCCATTTCGGGTTCCGATTTGGGCTCCGATTCCTCAATGGATCGGCTAAACGTAAGAGTGACCTTTCGCCGGAGTGACCTTTGGTGCGGGCCCATTCCGGTCTCCCGCCATTGATCGCGCTGCGATATCAGCGGCGTGCGCGCTTGGGTTTGGCCTCCCCGCGCCCCCCTGATGCCGCGCACAAGAGGGACTCCTTACCCAGGATCACTCTCCCGTGTAGCCGAGTGGAGGCCCACGAGCCTGCCGATTTCTGCCGACATGATTTCTCCCGGCGTGGCTACCGACTTCTGCCGATCCGCTGTAGTTCGGTTGCCGATCCGATTTGCCGTTTCGATTCTGGGCCCTCCTGCCTGAGGTCTGGGCCCCTTCCTGGCATCGAAAAACATCATGAACATACACAGTCGGAGCTCTGTGCGGACTTTTTTGGATCTGGGCTGGGCCTCCCCTGCGGCGCCTCCTCCGCCCCTGGCGCGCGCCGCGCGCCGGGGAAGGGGGGCCGGCGCAGGTTCAAGAGATCCGCGCGAGTCCAAAACGCTTCTGGGCGGCCCAGGGACCCGGGAAGTGACCCCGTGGCGCGAGAGTTGAAGACCGTCCGTCGATTTGTTTGGGTTTGGCGACCCGAGGGGGTTGGGGTCAATTCGCGGCGCAGGCGTCACGACCTCGTCCCCAGAAGTGTTTTTTTCGACCCAGGTCCGTTTTTGATTGCCCCAGCTCCTGCGGGCCTGGGAAGCCAACTTCGACGCAAAACAAAGATGTCAACAAAAAACCTTTTCTTCTAAGCCTCGCTCCTCGGGCCGTGTCAACGCGGCGGCGGCCCCAGTGAGGGCGTGCACACGGCGGCCCGCAATCGGCCAATCTGGAACGACGCTGTGATCGAAAAGTTGTTGATATATCGATCTTTCGATCTCGAAGGTTCTTCCACGGCTGAACGCCGCCAGCGGCCCGCTATCAGCCAATCTGGAACGACTATGTGGTCGGAAAGCTGTCGATCTATCGATCTCTCGAGCTCGAAGGGTTCTTTCGGTGCCAGGAACCAACTCCTAAGGTGTCGCGACACGATCTTGACGCTGCCCCTCCCCCAAGTGGATATGCTCCCCGCCCGCGAGGCCATGGATATGTGCGGGGCAGCGTTGGGTGGGGCATGGGCTCAGGGGGAGCGCATCGACCCTCGACCGAAATCGAGGAACGTCGCCAGGAGGAGCACAAATCGTGTCGTCGGAGATCTGGGACTCATCCTCGGCCCCTCCTGCGGCGCGACAGCAGTGAGCCCGCATAGCAAGGATGAGCGAGACTTTCCAGGGCTACCCTTGCATCCTTCCCCTTCGGCCCATCCTTGGCCGCTCTCGCCGGCCGCGCCCTGCTGGCGAAGTGTCGGCATGGCCTCCAAAAGGCCCTTGCGTCATAACCTTTATCGTGCGTCCCTATCGTACGGGTTGACTGTAGTCTAGGCCTCCTTGATGGGGTCCGGGTAGGCGTGGTCGGAGGATCGCGCCGCATCGCCGATGCATCGACGATGCGGCTCGACGTGGAGCCCGTGTTGCCCCACGCCGACGTCACCGATGCATCGCCGGCGTCGCCGATGCGTCGCCGATGCATCCCCGATACATAGGCGATGCGTCGACGACGCGGCGCGATCCTTCGACCCCATCTACGCGGACCCCATCTAGGAGGCTCTACAGGGTCAGGCTTGAATAAGGAACATTTTCTTTTCAAAAGAGGCCCCGCCGTTCCCTGGTTTGCATGCGCTCCGCGACCTTTTCTGGCGGCGAGCCCCCTGGTGTTCCGGCGGACTTCCTGGACTCGCTCGGAAACAACAAGGGGCTACGTTCCTTATTGATCGTTCCTCAGGTCAGGCCGACTACCCCTTTCGGGTATGGCCACGACCCCGGGTAAGGGGACCCGGTTAGTGGTAGGGCCCTGGAGCCATCGAATTAGCCAGAATCACTAAACCAGGTTTGCCATAGCTGGTGTTTTTTCGGGTGACGGCAGTTCCGGTACAGATCACGAAACCAGGTTCCACTGAACCCAGTTCTACCAACGCCCGACCCTTGCCAGTGGCGCGGCGAGACCCCCTGGTGTTCCGGCGGACTTCCTGGACTCACTCGGAAACAAAGGGGGCTCCGCTCATCACTTCGGGGGCGGCAAAGAGGGGGGTGATGACTAGGGGGGGGGGGTGGATATCATGGCGTGGGCCATGATATTTCCCCAAATTTCATGGCGCCTCCTCTCATTCCATTGCGTCCCTGGCCCCCCCGCTGGGCCGCGCACGTGCCGCCGGTCATGATTTGCACCCCCCCCCCTCTTGGACACCCCCCTCTTGGCCGCTCCCGATACAGGGGGAACGTTCGCAAATAGTCCAAAAACAGTCGGGGGGCGATTTGTTGAGCATGTCTGGTGTGTGCCTCGACTGTGTTTCAATGTTTCGCCCCAACTCCCCCTGTGGGGGGACAGGCCCGACCTGACTTTACGATGATGCTCCCGACCTAAACTTTAGCCTCGACCACCAAAAAGGATCTCGAGCTCCAGGACAGTACCGAAACTCGAGGGTTTCCACGCGCTGGGCCCTGGGGGGCACTGTTCCGACACTATTTCGACACTTTTCCGGGTGCCTGAAGTTGTTGTTGTGGGATGTGGTCCTCAAGTACGATGGAAAAACATAATCCTCGACGCAGGCCTGAGGAGCGGCGCGGAAAGCAGAGCCCTTTCTGAGCCCAAAGTGGTTCTGAGCCCAAAGTGGTTCTTGTTGCAGCGTCTCGGCTGCATGCTTCCCGCCCGCGGTGAGCGTTCGGGGACGCTCTCAGAGCGTTCTGGAGTGCTCTGGAACGGCAGCGGCGTGCAGAGCCGCCAGATCTCGGACGTCTCCGTTCTGTCCCGGTCCGATGTTGTCTCAGTCCAGGCTGCGGTCGCCATGAAGCAATCAGGTCCTGAGGACACCAGGTCCCTAGGAAACCAGGTCTTGGTCCTGGCTTCCCGGGACTGCCAGGAAGCTGCTCGCGATGAAGATCTGGCCCTCTGGGGGGAAGGCCCCTGGGTCCCGGACCCATTTCCCTTGGGACCGATTGCCTCCATGTTGGTTCGTCGGAGTCCCCCGCCCGCGATCTGATCGACTAGGCGCAAGAGTGACTTTCGGTGCGGGCCCAATGCGGTCCTCGATCGTTGAGCGCGAAGCGGTAGCAGCGGCTTGCGCGCCCAGGTTTGGCCACCCCGCGTCCCCCGTGAAACCGCGCACCAAAGGTCCTTTTCGGATGCAACTCCTGGGAGGTAAAGTTCTAATGCTGCCCTGGTCCGAAATCCGTCTCAATCCCGCTTGATCCCGCTTAATCCCGCTGAATCCGGCTTAATCCGAGGGCCACTCCGGCGTAACAGCCCCCCGATGGGGCTTAGCTTAATCCTCTTTGATCTTTCCGACGGAAACCCGTTGCCTCCTGAGTCGTTCCTTGCCTCTTGCCTAGGGCCACTCGTGTGCTCAGCCGACCGATTGGAGCGGCGGCTCCCCCGCGCAGGGGCGTGGCCTGCCGCTGCAGACTGTGGTGCAGTACTCCCGCCAGCTGTTCTCGGTGCTGCGCGTGCTGCGGCAGTGGGGGGTGCCGCGCCCGTGGGGGCCGGGCCGCGCTTGGGCGGCGCCGCCGCGCCGCCGTTTCCGGCGATCGCAAACCTTGGCATCGCTCGGACGTGTGCATTTTTCCTTCGGCGAGGACCATCGAGGAGCATCCTTGATCATTTGGCGAAAAAACCATGCACGAAACCAAAAAAGCACAGGGAGTGGACGTCCGAGCGATGGCAAGAAACACGGATGAGGGGGGCGTGGATCAATTTTGCGGCGGGTTCCGTTTCGTGGGGAAGCGCGGATGATCCGCCGCCGATGCGGCACCGGCCGCATTGGGGGGAGGGCACCTCCCCCGATCCATGGATTCGGGGACCACGCGCCAAATCCATGGATCGCTGATCCATGCTTGCGCGCCCCCAACCGTTTCTCCAAGCCAGGCAGTTGCGAAGAGCCCCGGCTTGTTTTAAGAACCTTTTGAGGTTTGCACGACAAATGAGTATTTTTGGTTGGGACCGTCTTGTTTCAGTGCATGGGCTCCATGTTCTAAGCACATTGCATTGGCTTGATGATATTCTTAAGTTTTCAGAGCATTGCTTGGTAGGCCAATAGGAATGCCAGGACGGTCGGTTCTTGTTCAGAGAGGAAGATCACGACGGGCCGATTTTTCCGGTTTTCAGCCTCGGGGGCCTTTGGCCGAGCCCCGGCCGGGGACCGTCAAAAGGCCTCGCAGAATGAAACGCCAGCCCCGGGTCGACGTTTGGGCCACCTCCCGACTCCCCCCTCTCCTCCTCCTCCTCCTCCTCCCCCCCTCGTCCTCCTACTCCCCCTCCTCCTCCCCCTCCTTCTCCTCCTCCTTCTCGCCTCCATCTTCCGTATGTTTGGTTCAAGGGGCCTTGCTCTTGCACCACGGGTGGGCCGCGGCCGCACCCCGTGGCCCTCGGCGGCCGTCTGTTTCGGCTCCTTTGCTCTCCTCCTCTCGCCGTGGGGGCGGTGCGCCCGACCATGCCGTGGTCGTATTGGAGGTCCGACGTGCAGTCCGGGAGTGACGATAACGCATGTCGGGATAGCATGTCCGCGAGCACCTACCCCCCGCTTGCCGACGTGAGCATGCAAGCGGCGTTTCAGGGACCGATACGGCCATGATTGACAACGGTTGTATATTTGACGGCCCAGCTCGACCGTGGTGTATCCCGGATACCAATTTGCAGAATCCAGATGCTGACCATTCAGGTTGAGAAGAAGGTTTAAGCATTTTACAGAAATCACAGGCTGATCTGGCAAACCAGACAGCTGATATTGTTCCCAGATGAATGCCATCCAGGGCTAAACGCTGTTGCAGGTGGTTCAGGATCGTGAAGTGGCACAGGATGATGATAAGAGGGAGTGCGCGGCGAAGGGCAAGATGACGAGGGCCTGGTGACTCCGACGCAATGACGGATTTCTCGTCAAAGCCGCCGCTGTGTTGAGTCGGGAGCAAGATTACGACACCCACCCCGCAATACAGATGCCAATATCTTTTCATTACTCGTGACGCGGAATTTGCCTCGGGGCCCAAATATTCCGACTTCGGGGGGTCGCAGGAGACGTCTTGGACGAGTTGCCGACGCTTCGCAGAGGCCGCCTTCGCGGGGCCCAGCGAGCCCGCCGACTGCACGCGGCCATACAGGTCGCCGCCAGTATCGTTGATGCTCGTACCCGTCTGCACGGATGGAACCGGCCCTTGCGAATCTACGGTCTTTCCAGAGGCGTTTCGCTTTTAATTGCAAAACAAAGCATGGTGTACACCCGCCCAAACGAAGTATACCCCCATCCAGAAATTGATACACCTGGGCAACAATATAACACATGTTTCAAGAAAGCGACGTATAAACCCACCAAACCCGGTGCACCGATTATTGGCGTAGTTCTAGAGACGAAAACCCTCTGGCGCTGAGTCGCCATGTCAGTGCCTGCGGCGAGAGCCGCGCGACTGGCTCATATCAGCAAGCCGCGAATTGCTTGCGCGTTCTCCAGGACGGAAGTTTCAGGTTTGTGCGGCCCCGCGCGCGTGGTTTGTTCTCGGCCATGTGCATCTTGCCAGTCTGGCCGACGATGGAAATGCGACGTCGAGATATCAATCGGGGCCATCCGCGGGCTCTGCCGAACACGTGCTGACATGGGCGCTGTAAGGCAGGGTGGGTATCGATATTTAGCTCCCCGCTGAGAGCGGCGATGCTGGTCATCCTCCTTGTTTTGTTTGTTATGGTAGTTAAGCGGGCCTCGGTGGAAACGACGTTGCGCCAGCATGTATGCCACATGCCCGCGAATTCCCTTGCATCCAGGTTAAGGCGCGCAGCTGCACCCAAAGACGATTATCGACTTCCCCAGCACTTCGCAAGCCAGAAAATTATGTTCGAAGCGATGGCGGAGGTTTCTTCCTGTCCCCAGTTCTTTTACGGCGGACCTGAGTTTGGTGTCCGCGCGCGACGTGGTCTCCCGCAGTCTTTGAGGAATCTCTACCACCTAGGGAACATGCGTCAGGCTGTGGCGAACTTCGTCGGTCCTGACACAGTCGGATCTGCGGGGCTTGGGGGCGCCATTGAGTTTGGGCCTACAACAGGGAGTGTTCAATGCCATATCCACTTGAAGAAAGGGGCTGTGAATCTGGAGGAGGTCGGCGCGCAGGTTGCTTGCTCTGTCGCATCGGGAAATTCCATTGTCTTCGATGACTGCGGCGCAGGCGGCCCAGATTCGCTGGTCGACCCTGCCGCGTCGACGGTGGCCTCGCGTCTTGTGTCTTGCGACCCATGCCTCCTGCACTTCCGTAGCAACGTGGCCCCCGGAAGGGTCTTGTGTCCTCTCGCGTGTCCTCTCCAATCACATGCGGCCGTAGCAGTTCGGTCGGTCTGGGGCTCGACGGGGGACGCGCTGGTTCCTCGGCATCCGGGAGCTCTGCTGGGCCTCAGGATTCGGGCAGCTGCGCTCGTGCGAATTCTGGCGGCGCGGCGTCGCGAGTTTCTTCCCCCCTGGCTGGGGTTGCCTGTGGAGTTGTTCGCCCCGTTGTTTGTTGTTGTTCTCTCTCGCTCTTTTTCTCTCCCTCTCTCTTGTTCATGTCCCTCTCTCAAAATGTTATGTTGTTGTTTTTCTCTCTCTCTCTGTCTCTCTTTGTGTCTCTCTCTCTCTCTATCTCTCTCCCTCTCCCTCTATATATATATATGCTCTTTTTTTTTCTCTCTCTCTCTCTCTCTTTTCTTCTCTCGTTCTCTCTCTCTTTATGCCTCCCTTTCCCTCGCTCTCTCTCTCTCTCTCTCTCTCTCTCCCTCTCTAAGTTTGATTTCTCATTCATTTGTTTCTTTCTCTTTGTTTCTCTCTCTCTCTCTCTTTCTCTCTCCCTCTCTCTCTCTCTCCCTCTCTCTCTCTCTATCCCTCTCTCTCTCTCTCTCTCTATCTCTCCCTCTCTCTCTCTCTCTCTCTCCCCGTTCATCCCCCCCCGCCCCCCCCGCCCCCCCCCCCCCCCTGCGCGCGCGGGGCGCCCGCGCATTCCCAGGGCGCTTGCCCCGTCGTCTTCGGTCAGGACAACCTCGCGTTTTCGACGGGTTGGGAAGATGAGTGGACGGTGCAAAGGTGCCTGCTTGAAGGAAAGCCACGGGGCCATTGCAGACGCGGCGATCCCCGGCGCTAAGGCCCGCGCGGGTACCGAGCACGGAAGTTCCATCAACGTTACGCCTGCGATGGGAGGCAGTTGCGCGTTTCCCTCCCGTCCACGACGTCGGTCCCACTGGGGCATTCAGCTGGTCGTGGCGGTCCTTCCTCTTGGTTTCCACTGCGCGAGTCTGATCTCTGGCGAATAGGAATTTGCCCCAATGGAGAAGGAATTTCCCCGGGCCGGTTGCGAGCATGGTCTCTGGGGCAGGCTGCAGCGCGGCGTCTTCCAGGAGTGGCGCGGTTCGCGTCGCGGGCAGCGCCGGTCTGATTCGACGCGTGGGAACACGCTGGGCAGGGCCATCAAAGGCTTCTCGAGGCTGGGCAGAGTTTACGCGACCCCCGGCTGGCGCGCTCTGTTATGCCAGGGCGTCATCGGACCACATTCCCGCGGCAACCACCCCATTCCTGGGTCCGCAGCGGCGCCCCCAAATAGGCGTGGAGAGCGCCCGGAACGGCGGGGCATGGCCGTCGAACAGCTGGGGGAGATCCCATGCACAAAGGGGCCGTCGGAGACGCCCCGACGCCCGAAGGCGCCGCACGGCGCGGCGGGGGGCGAGCCCCGGCGAGGCAGGCAGCGCGCCATGCAGAGAAGTTTTGCTTCGCGTCCACGGCGCATCGTGGGCGGAGGCGGGCAGCGGCGGCATCTCTGCATCCGCGCGCTTCCTCCCGCGTTGACCGCGGGGCATTCGGGCCCAAATGGGTCGCGCGCCCGGGCGGCCTCGCCGGGGAATCCATGGCCCGCGGCGGCGCGCGAGGGGGCTGCGCAAAACAGGGGGGGGGGGGGTCAGTGTTCGGGACAGAAGGAGTAGAGTTGCTTTCGACCGCGGATGATCCTCGATGCGACGGTTCGCTGGGGTTGGGGGGGCGTCGGGCGCGGATGGCCCGCATCTCACCGTTCATACCCCCCCGCCCCCCCCCTCCCTCCCTGCGCGCGTGGAGCGCCCGCGCGTTCCCAGGGCGCTTTCCCCGTCGTCTTCGGTCAGGACAACCTCGCGTTTTCGACGGGTTGGGAAGATGAGTGGATGGTGCAAAGGTGCCTGCTTGAAGGAAAGCCACGGGGCCATTGCAGACGCGGCGATCCCCGGCGCTAAGGCCCGCGCGGGTACCGAGCACGGAAGTTCCATCAACGTTACGCCTGCGATGGGAGGCAGTTGCGCGTTTCCCTCCCGTCCACGACGTCGGTCCCACTGGGGCATTCAGCTGGTCGTGGCGGTCCTTCCTCTTGGTTTCCACTGCGCGAGTCTGATTTCTGGCGAATAGGAATTTGCCCCAATGGTGAAGGAAGTTCCCCGGGCCGGTTGCGAGCTCGGTCTTTGGGGCAGGCTGCAGCGCGGCGTCTTCCAGGAGTGGCGT